CAGCATCTCTTCCTGTCAACTCCACTTTTAAGACACATCAACTTATTCAGAATGTCGCCGAATAGCGTGTTCCCGCAAGTTGATTTAGTGAAGTGTAAGCCTCGCCACCACCGCTACCAGATACCGTTGGCAGAGCTCCCCTTTTTTTCCATGCGCCTCTTGTCAATTGGCCGCTGCTAAACATCAAAATCGTTGTTTGGCTGTCTGAAATCTGGCCGCCTAAGAGCCTTCCATTCCCGTCCTCGATTACGCCACATTCGAGCATTTAGACCAGATGATGCCCATGCCATTGCCCATGCACATGCACATGTTGGGGCCTGGTAATCTTCAAACTCACGACTCCATTATCCTCTCCCTCATCCCCACCCACATCTTGTCTCATTCTCTGGGGCCCTGTGTCCGGCTTAAGCCATAACCGCTGGTGTAAAGATGCCCCACTTTCGCTTTGTCCTTTGAATGGCGAAATGAACACTTGTCTCGTCTCTCAAGTTGACATTCCCATCTAAGCCTAGGGTACTTGGATGATGTTCATGTGTTTGTGTGATTGTGTGCTGTCTGGTATCCTCCGTGGCCAAGCCTGTCAGCAGTCGTCTTCTCTTCCGACACAGAATTGAAAATTAAACATGAAACCTACGCGCAGACACTGGTGACATCTATCTATGCCCACATATATACCTTACATATCCTACATCCCACAGGTGAACCCTCTGGATACAGAAGTTGTTTGGCCTTGCTTTCGCAACTTAGTCATACTGGTGGGAAGACTTAGAGGAACGCACCTTGTCCCAAGTCCATTGTATGCATTATCATTTCCAGAGTAGGACTGTGGACGTGGTACATTTACAGACGCTTCGCCGGCATCGTCAGTGAGTCTTGCCATTCGTAGCACCATTCAACAACTCGTCAAAGAGACAAGTCAAGCCGATCCTTTGACCAAAAGTGTGCTGAACAGTTGTGGTATCGCCTCTTCTGCCTTGGGCTATTCACATTTCCTATATCCTCCTATCATGCCTTCCCTGTCACAATGTTTTCTGTGCTTATTTTCAATGTAGTCTGGTGTGCTCCTTCGAGCAGCATTCATGAAAGCCCTTCACACTCCACACTGCCATTATCACCTCCTTCACCCTTGTGATGGCAATGTTGTCCACAGTCTGTCATATTGTTACGTAGTCCTTCCCTGGGGAGATACCACACGTTTGGTCAAAGGATGGGCTACACTTGTCTCTTTGACGAGCTGTACTATGGTGCTACGAATGGCGAGATTCATTGACGTGGCCGGCGAAACTTCTGCGAGTGTACCACGTCCACGTTCCTACTCTGGAAATGATGATGCAGACAATGGACTCCGGACTAGGTGCGTTTCTCTAAGCCTTCATACCAACATGACCATCTTGGCCTTAATACCTTCAGGATGCATCTTGTTGGCGAATTGCACGTTCGACATCTCTCACTGCAGTCGCCTTCTCTTGAATTCTCTTTGTTGAATACAACCAAAGGAATGGCATAATATGGGGGAAACAACAGGAAATGGAAGATCAGGGAAACTGTGGACATCCTCCTTCAAAGAAACCTGATGAACAGGAGATTGGTAGAGTGAAGAGTCCGCGATTATTTCGCGTACTGCCTGAACAGACTTTGAGATTCAACGATTGCATCAAAAAGAAGACGCTTAGGGCCAGGACAACTGTTGAACAACAAGAAGAGACATCACCAAGTATCGGCTCATGAGGAACAAAGGGAATTGAAAAATGGGCGACTGCAGTCAGAGATGTCGAACGTGCAATTCGCCAACAAAATGTATCTGTGGCATGTAGGATATGTAATTACAGGCTAAAGGTATATATGTGGGCATAGATAGATGTCACCAGTGTCTGCGCGTAGGTTTCATGTTTAATTTTCAATTCTGTGTCGGAAGAGAAGACGACTGCTGACAGGCTTGGCCACGGAGGATACCAGACAGCACACAATCACACAAACACATGAACATCATCCAAGTACCCTAGGCTTAGATGGGAATGTCAACTTGAAAGACGAGACAAGTGTTCATTTCGCCATTCAAAGGACAAAGCGGAAGCGGGGCATCTTTACACCAGCGGTTATGGCTTAAGTCGGACACAGGGCCCCAGAGAATGAGACAAGATGTGGGTGGGGATGAGGGAGAGGATAAGGGAGTCGTGAGTTTGAAGATTACCAGGCCCCAACATGTGCATGGGCAATGGCATGGGCACCATCTGGTCTAAATGCTCGAATGTGGCGTAATCGAGGACGGGAATGGAAGGCTCTTAGACAGCCAAACAACGATTTTGATGTTTAGCAGCGGCCAATTGACAAGGGCGCATGGAAAAAAGGGGAGCTCTGCCAGCGGTATCTGGTACCGGTGGTGGCGAGGCTTACACTTCACTAAATCAACTTGGGGGGACACGCTATTCGGCGACATTCTGAATAAGTTGATGTGTCTTAAAAGTGGAGTTGACAGGACGAGATGCTGCACTAGAAAGTAAAGCAAAGAATAGAAACGATGAGTGACTGCGACCACACAAAAGACCACACCATCTTGATCTTCATACCTTCGGTTTATCATTTATTCTTTTGTATTAACCAAGCCAACTTAGTCGCTTTAAATAAATGATACCGGAGTTTTCCCAC